GATCAGGAAGCTTGTGAGGCTAGTTTTCAAAATTCAATAAAAATAATCGAAAATAAATATCAAGTTAATCTGCCTCTAAAACAAGAAAATATTAATTTAGGTAACTCTTTTGCTGTAGCTCTTAAGAGATTTGAAAACTTAGAGAAAAGGTTTGTTCTAAATCCCACTCTATACCTTAATTATAAAAAATTTATAGATGAATATATTCAACTTGGTCATGCTAAAATTGTTCATTATGATCCAAAAATTTTAAATAACGGTGAGGTTTATTTTATGGCTCACCATCCAGTAATAAGAGAGGATAAGAAGACTACAAAATTAAGAATAGTTTTTGACGGTAGTATGAAATCTAAGAGCAAAAAGTGCTTAAATGATTTTCTATATAATGGTGCTGTTGTACAAAATGAACTATTTGATATATTAATCCTATTTAGAATTTATAAATATATTATATCTACTGATATTAAACAAATGTTTAGAATGATACTTATTCACCCTGAAGACAGAAGATATTTAAATATATTATGGAGAGAACCACATAGTGAGCTAAAGTGTATCCAGTTGCAAACAGTAACATATGGGTTACGAAGCTCATCGTTTCTAGCTACTAGATGTTTAGTCGAACTAGCCAATACAGAAGGACAAAATTTTCCTTTGGCAGCTAAAGCATTAATAAATAATACCTATGTAGATGACATCCTAGCAGGAAGTGATACTATAGAAGAAGCAAAGAAACTCAAAAATGAACTAATTTCTCTTTTGCAACTAAGGTCATTTTCCTTGCACAAGTGGTGTTCAAACGATCCAAGGATAATAAGTGATATCCCCAAAGAAAATCAACATTTTGATGAAATTGACATAAATAAAATTAACTTTGTTGTAAAAACATTAGGTTTATCATATGATACCATTACTGATAATTTTAAACTGTCATCGCCAAAAATTAATATCAATGACTGTCTAACAAAAAGACAGGTATTAAGCTTTATATCAAAATTTTATGATCCTTTAGGATTAGCAGGTCCAGTGTTAGTCAAAGCAAAAGTTATAATGCAGACAATTTGGCTTCGTAAAATTAAATGGGATGAGGTACTGCCTAATGATTTGCAGGAAATTTGGAAAAATTTTATTACTGGTCTAATAAATATGCCAGTTTTAAAAATTCCAAGAAATTTAGCCTTTACTGATGCTGAAAGTATTGAACTTGTAGGGTACTGTGATTCATCAATGCAAGCATATGGAGCAGCACTTTATGCTCGAACTATTTGTCATGACACAGTTAATGTTAATTTAATTTGCTCAAAGTCTAGAATCGTTCCAATAAATAAAAAGTTAACTATACCTAAACTAGAGCTAAATGGTGCCTTGTTGTTAACTAATTTAACTTTTAAAATTCATAATTTGTTAAAAGCACATATTAAAAAGATTTTTCTTTATTGTGACTCAAATATAGTATTGGCTTGGTTAAAAACCGAACCTGTCAAATTAACTCCTTATGTAGCTAATCGTGTTTTAAAAATTCAAAACATGTCCACAAACTTTAAATGGCTTTATATTAATAGCAAAGAAAACCCAGCAGACTGCCTTTCTAGAGGCTTGGAGCCTAATGATATTGAGTTGCATCCCTTATGGTTTACTGGTCCAAAAATGCTGTCGGACAAAAATTTTGCTCATAATGAGCTACCTGTTCAATTTCCTTATCCAATGCCTGAACAAAAAGTTAGTGTACATGTTATACAAACAAAGGAAAATACATTCTTTAAAAAATACTCCAATATAACTAAACTGCAAAGAATTACAGCATACATTCTACGATTTAAAAATAATTCTCTAAGTAAATTGAAAGGCACAGAAAAATTTTCTGGTAATTTAAATTTGCTAGAGTTAGATAATTCTTTAAAGGTAATTATAAAGTGTCAACAATATTATCATTTTTCTCAGGAAATTAAAGATCTTATATCAAATATAGTTTTAAAATCACCATTAAGTACGCTGTCTCCTTTTGTTGATGGTGATGGGCTTTTAAGAGTAGGTGGTAGATTACATAATTCTAACATCTTATATACTCAAAAGCATCCAATAATTTTGCCAAAGGCTAGTCATGTTACAGATCTCATAATAAGGCATGAACATTTGAAATTACTTCATGCTGGTCCCAGGCAAGTGCTAAGTTCATTAAATTTAAATTATTGGTTAATAAATGGAAACCGAGAAGTAAAAAAAATTACTAAAAAGTGTGTAATATGCTTCAAATTTAAAGCAAAATGTTCTGAACAATTAATGGGATCTCTACCAGAAACAAGAGTTTGTGCTGCTAGAGTATTTCAAAATGTGGGAATAGACTTTTGTGGCCCTTTTCTCGTCAAGCAATCGAGAATAAGAAAATCAATAAGCACAAAAGCCTATATAGCTCTTTTTGTGTGCTTTTCTGTAAAAGCTATCCACATGGAACTGTTATCAGACCTTACTACTGAAACTTTTTTAGCAGCATTTAAGCGCTTCATTTCTCGCCGTGGGAAGCCTTTGAACGTATATTGTGATAATGGATCCACGTTCAAGGGTGCTAACAATCAAATTAATAACTTTTATAATCAATCAGTAAAAATAGAAAATTTCGGTTTAAATGAAAAAATTAAATTTAGTTTTATTCCCAGTTACTCCCCAGTTTTTGGTGGTTTGTGGGAGGCTGGAGTAAAAAGTGCCAAATTCCACATAAAAAGAGTCATGGGCACAAATGAGCTCACATATGAGCAATTTAATACATTAATTGTACAAGTCGAAGGTATCTTGAATTCAAGACCACTTATGGCTATGTCACAAGATCCAACAAATCTGGAATATTTAACACCAGGACATTTTCTTATAGGAGCCCCCATAACCAGCTTTCCAGAACCTGATATTACCGAAGTTCCAAAAAATCGTATAAAATTTTGGAATCTCTGTACTCAAATGCAACAGCACTTTTGGAAAAAGTGGCATCAAGACTATTTAACACAGTTGCAAAATAGGCCCAAATGGAAAAATAAACTACCTAATTTAAAGGAAGATATGTTAGTCTTACTAAAAGAAGACAATATTCCATCATTTAAATGGGCACTTGCACGTATCACCAAGGTTATCCCTGGAAAGGATAAAATGGTTAGGGTTGTTGAAGTTAAAACCAAAAGTGGGACCTATGTAAGATCAGTCACAAAGGTGGCAGTATTGCCATTCTATGAATAATTGTAAATAATGTAAATAAAATTAATTTAGTGTAAGAAGTAGTATAACTAGTATTTTAGATAGTAGCTATATTTGTAAGATTTCACATGAATTTAGTGTAAGAAGTAGTATAACTAGTATTTTAGATAGTATTTATATTTGTAAGATTTCACATGAAATGCTCTGGCCCCCAGCATGTTGGAAACAATATCCAACACCTATGCAAAATTGTTGGGACGCTTTGTAGGTTCGGGTGTGTTCGGTCGGAAGTGACAGTGTTTTTCCCTGCCCCCACCAGCAGGTGACAAGTGACATTCTGCGCCAGTGCATTCATCACGCATAACGCCATGTTTAGTTGTAGTTTTATAAAAAGTAAAAACATACATTAGCTCTGGCTTGTTGCCATCTAATTATTATTATTAATGAATAGTAAATAGTATATTAGCTCTGGCTTATAGCCATCTAATTATCATAAGTGAATGGTGAATAGTCTAAATTAAATAAAGGTGTAACTACAGTAAGTTTCGTGAGTCTTATTTCAATTAATTAAGTATACAGTCCGCTTAACCATCGAGGCTTTAGTTGTGCGTCTCGTACACTACTGAAGGGAGGTTGTTTCTCTGGTATCCGTTTGATCCAGTATAATTCCATCATATAGCGGATTTTCGTTTTTTTCAAACGTTTCTTTGAAGAATTCTGTCCATCTTTGTAGTATTTTACTCTGTTGAGTTACTATATCTCTCTTCTTTGCCTCTGCACATCATTGTTCTTGGTTTAAATTCTTTTTACTTTTGTTAAGTTTTTGGTAGAATTTTCTGGTTTCTGATGGTTTATTTAGTTCTTCCATTTCTTAGAGTTTTTTTCTATGTGTTCTCTTTTCTTTCTGCAATGTATTTTTTCTCTTCCCTCCTTAGCATTCTATATTCCTCCTCTGCCTTTCGTGTTCTATGTCGTTGTTGTAGTCGTTGAAATGCATTATTTTACTTCTCTGTTATGTTACGACACTCTTTATCGAACCACTGTCCTTCCCGCGCTTGTGTGTTTGTGTGTTTTTACTGTGTTTTTACGCGCTTCCCAATCTCTGTTTATATCCTCGTGCTTTTATCTGTTTTTTAGCCTTTCTTTTATATTCTTTGTATTTTGCCTTTTTGCTGTTGTCTGCCAAGTTTTGGATTTCATATTTTTCAATTTTGTATCCGTTTTCTTTTTTAATGTTTAAGATTCTGGCTCTTATTCTACTTTCCACTAGATAGTGATCCAAGTCTGCATTTGCTCCTCGTCTGCTGCATGTCTTGCATGCCCACGTCTGAGTGATGTCTAGAGTCAATAATAACATGATCGATCATGTTTACTGTAACCCCATCTGGAGATCTCCACGTTCCTTATGAATATTTTTTCGCTGGAAGCATGTGCTGGCAATGACCATGTTAAGGGAAGTTGCTAGATTTATTAGTCTGATGCCATTGTCATTGGATACCTCATGAAGGCTGTGCTTACCTATAGTTGATAGGTATTTGCTCTTTCCATTTTTGCGTTGAGATCCATAAATAATTTGATGTATTCTTGGGCATGAATGGATGCAGCTTCTAGTTCTTCATAGAATTTTTCTTTGACACTGTCTTCCATTTCCTCTGTAGGGGCATGCACATTTAAGATGCTATAATTAAAAAATGTTCCCTTAGTCTCAGGATGCACATTCTAGAGTTCATGGCACGAAAGTCTCTTACGAGGTGTAAGGTGTAAAATAATATTCTATATATTAGTATTTACATAATTACTAATCAATGTTAATAACTTACTTTCAAATTCTACTGGTTGGCCTAGCACCCCATCAGGAACAGGCTGAACTTTAACCGACGAAGCACCTCCCTCTTTCCTTATCCTACTGTATACTGGTGAATTTCTTCCGAAACTATCGCTGTACTTCTTTGAAGAATAGTTCTCATTATAGTTCGTCTGATAGCTCTGCTCCTTTAATACAAATTTAGAATGTTCTTCTGCTTTTCGTCTTCTTATTTCCGTATCCAGCTGTGATTCAGTCAAATTAGCCAAAGATTCCAAGCTTCTGTCCGACAAAATATTTTTGGTTTTTGCTATGGCGTCCCAGGAATCTCTTCTCGAGGAAGATTGGTCATTGAGTGATGAAACTTTAATTATTGGAGTCGTGTCTACACCATTTGATGATGAGTTTGTAAATACTCGATTTTCACTTACTCTTTTGTCATATCTAGAGGTGGAAGTAAAGCCTACGTCTGGACTGGACCTACAAAGTAGATATAGATTATTTACTATGAAATTCAGTATTCACATACATATTTTCTTTCATGAAATTTACCAAATCTATCGAGAAAATATAAAAAACCATATCAAATGTCAATAGACCTGTATTATGGTTAGGTTTAGGTTAGGTTAGACAATGGAGGGGATGGTTTGATCCATAAACAGATGATGTGTACACTTTTCGTTGTAATCTAAAACTGTTCCCCTAGTACGAAAGAGAAAAAAGATGCGAGCAGTATTTGAATGTCATTCTAATGGACGGCGTTTATCGATCACGTGATCTTCCCACCACCAAACAATCTAGAAATACAAGTGGGGAGGCAGCTTAAATATAACTTATACGTTTGATGTAACAGAGAGAAGTAGCAACGTTGTATTGTATTTGTTGTCGGACGTGGATAATCGAGATTCAATTCTTTTACTGTTTTTTTTTATATATAAAAACTGGTTTGTTTGGTAGTGGGAAGGACACATGGTCGATAAATCCCGCTTATTAGAAAGAGATGCAATTACAGCTCATAATCTTTTTTCTCTGTCGCATTGGGGGAATGGCTTTAGACTGCAACACGGACTCTAGGTGTTATATGTTTATGGTTTGATCGGCTTACTATCATCTGCGCTTTAATTAAACCAACGCCACTACCACGAAAGGTATCATATTTATCCTATGGTCTATACTGTAAGCCATCTCTTAGAAATTGTCGCATTTATCCATTGCCTAAATAATGTAAACTATGCTTACCTTTCTAAGTAGCTAGGACTTCTAGAATCCTCGAGCCTCATTGACGACATCTTGTTGGTGAAGTCATACCTCTTTTCGTTTAGTTTTCGACTAGTAATGAAGTCCGGACTGTCTCGCCCCTGTATGGGTGGGCTGTTGGGACGATAACTAGGACTAGGTGGATGAAAATTTGGACTAGCAGTTCTAAAAAAAATATTCTTAATAATAAAGATTCTCCTCAGAACAGATAGAAAGGAAAAATTTCATATCAGCTTGTTACAGCCAAAAGATTGGAAAGATTATTATTATCAAAACCTATTGAGTGACAATTGTCCAAGTACTCTTACCAGTCATAGATATCTTTTATAGAAAAATCTCAATAACACCCACTAGACTGAAGAAAATCCCAATAATAATGAAAAATGAACAAGTATCTGGACCTACAGGTCTTCCATTGAACATTTAAGGTATGGACCTGACCGGCTACTACAACTATTTGTTTTTGTGTTTCATTGCTTTTTGAAAGGCAAAGAACTGTCACTGTATGGAAAACATCGTTCTTATTAAAAATCCATAAAAAAGGTGACAGAAGAAAGTGCTGCAACTATAGTATTAGCTTTCCAAAAAACTGTTAAATGCAAGAATGCAGGGGCTAATGGAAGATCGAGAAAGCTCGGAGAGAATAATGTACATGAAGACGCCAGAAATCTCCGTGGCAGTCGATGGTGGAGGAGAATGACCACAAACCATAATAAATGAAGAAGTTTGCTGAGGGGGTATAGAATAACATGAGAGATCGATACAATAATAATTGACACCATTGATGCCAATAATTTGAGGTGATACAAACATGTAAGCCGTATGAATGGAGACAGGTGACCAAATAAATTGATGAAATGAAGACCAGTGCAGAGAAAAAGAAGCTCGGGAAGGATGCCCGAGAAAGACATGGGAGCCCAAAAGCAATCTAGTAGTTTTAAAAGTACTACAGACCTAGACTAGATTTCCTTTATCATTCTCTTTTGTATTTCCTAATTGGTGACTCTATCATTTCGGGATATAGTACGATAAGAAACATTCATTTTGTATATTTATGTGGACGTCTAGAGTAGTACAGATTTTTGCATGGTCCTATAGAGATGTTCATTTAGACCCAGCTTTTTAATGTTTTCTAGTAGGTTCTTCAGAATGACTTTAGTAGTAAAAGAATAATAGTTATTGTCTGGATACTTTCCATTCTCCATTGTCTCCTTATTTGTATTTCCAGCTCTATGTACTTGGCTATATTTTTGGTGTATTTAATACGCAGATTATTGTTGTTAGGTATTGCCACATCGATTAGTGTTGTTTGTCTGGTTAGTTTATTAATTAGTACGAGATCTGACCTATTACGTTCTACTGTTTGGTCTGTGAGCAGAGTGCGATATCAGTATAGTATGTAGTTGACATTCTGAAGCATACTCTCAGTACGGATTGGTAATATGGAGATGGTTTGTTTGAAGTAGTCCCGGTTTAAAAGCTATCTCTTGATGAAATATCTTCCCTACTGAGTCATGCCGTTCCGTATATTCAGTTGTAGTAAATGCCTGGCAGCTCATAGTAAGATGTTTGATGGTTTCTAAGGCCATCCATATCGGCATTTTTCTTTTTGGACCTGAGGGTCTTTGACGATATATTTTAGGTAATTTTGGTTGGTATAACCTGACCCTAAATGGCAAGTACTAACCCTTCTGTTTCAGGGAACATCTTTCCTGATGTCAACCAATGTTGTCGACATAAGTCTTGACTGACTTTATTGGGATATCGCCCATGCAGAGGTTTATCCATCTAGATGCGCATGTTTTCGTTGCCTTCAGTTTGATCAGCGATCTACTCTACATCGTAAATATGTTCTTAAATTAGTAATCTGTTTTTCTAATTGCTCACTTATAATCCATAAGACGTCGTCCTCCTAAATACCGCGGTAATGTCGTTCTTTCCACTGCACTTCGAGGACGGTGTTATCATTGTAATCAGATTTAGCCATACCGCCCGCAGTCCCTCAAGGGAAAAATTCACTCATCCCAGATACCTACGGTATCAAAAGGATTGAGCTCTGGTGGGATTTTTTCCGTGTTATCGAGCCCTAGGTGACTTGTATGCTCTGAGTATAACCCAAAAATTTTTGTACACATCTCGACGTCGCGAGGAGTACAGCTTTCTGCATGGCCTTAGAGAGATGTTTATTTACATCCAGTTGTTTTATGTTCTTTAGGAGTTTTTGGGAATACCACCAGTAGTAGATAGAACAATAGGTACTCCTTGAGTACTTTCCATTCTCCATTGCGTTCTGATTTGTATTTCTAGATCTCTGTACTTGGCGATCTTTTCATTGTATTAACACGCAAATTATTGGTGTTGGTATCGCCACATCAATAAGTGTTGCTGCATAGTAAGTTTATTAACTAGTGTGAGATCAGGTCTATTATGTGCCACTGGTTGGTCTGTGAGCACAGTGCGGTCCCAGTATAGCTTGTAGTTGTCATTTTCAAGCATTCTGTCAGGGACTTATTGATAATAAGGAAGATGGTTGGTTTGTAGAAGTCACATTTTGTCAGCTAGTTATTGGTAGATAATCTTTCCAACTACGTCATGAACTACTTTATAACCAGTACCGATAAATTCCTTGCAGCTCCGGTAAGACGTTGGATGGTTTTTGGGCTTGGCATCCATATCGGCATTTGTCATTTTGGACTTGCGGATCTTAACAATATATTTCAGATAATTTTTAGTTGGATTAACCTGATCCTGAATGGTAAGTAGAAAATCCTCAGTCTCTAGAGAAACATATTTCTATTGTTATTATTATTAAGCTGTATATGGTAGAAAATAGATAAACGTTCGTTTTGTCTGACCTATCCATCTTACAGAATATTGTTGTTTAGGTGCCGTCTCTAATTTAAGTTTGCGATGATTTGTCATTTTACTAATATATTTACGTTTGAAGTATTCTTTTTCATGATTACCATTGTTTTTGCTTTCTTTGCAATAATTTTAAGACCATACTTTTCACCACCGCTCAGTACCTTATTATATCGAATGTTATTAACAATTCTTCCGTTGACTTTAATACATCCTTGTGCCTCATCCAAAGCTCGTTCAAAGATCTCCTCTAAGTACAGATTAAATAATAATGGCAGTGTCCCTTATCTAGGCTCTAACTTGCTCCAGTGTGATCGTCAATATTTACTTCACAATAAAATTACTTATTCTACAAAAAATTACTTATAAAATTCTACCTATCTATGTTATTCTTATTTTCTTTTATTTATTTGTACATTTCATAATTTACCTGTAAACGGGGCTGTGGTTTCTTTGATTATAACTGGGACTATGTGTACGATCCTGGTAAATAGGCGAACTAGATGCCAATCTTTTTTCAGATACAGATTTCATGTGGTAATCTTGAGCAAACTTATGAGTTTCGTCCAACAGTGGACTAGCATTTTGCCTGTAACTACAAAAATAAATAAATAAACAAATATACATGAAATGTTGATAGGTATAAGCTATAATATTTGGATATCAGAGAAAATCAAAAGCAAAAATAATTTTAAAGCAAAACTGTTGATAATTTTATTGTCAAATTATTCTACCATCCCTATCAGTCTCTCTAGATAATTAAAAAAATGTAAAAATATTTTTTTTATTGAGTTTAATGCCTCGACAACTATGATCATTGGCATGGTACAGTCAGGTACCTAGTGTAGTGTGTGTGTAGGTGTTGAGTTATTGTCTTGATACTTAGCAAAGTCGACGTCATTGTCTTTGCTAAGAGACGCTAATTGTATCCGAACGTCTGCGGTCCCTCCGGTAAGTACCGATCGCACAAGGATATAAATTATTTTCATTTATTAATTTTTAATAAACGAAAATTTCTCCACCCAGGGTGAGATTCGAACACACTACCTTTACGTTCAAAGGTAGGCGCTTTTACCACTGAGCCACAGAAGGGGTTAAATATATTTTAAAAAGATTATAATCAAACAGTGATTTAATATGTTCTTTACGAAATACGTTACGAATGGATTGCTTTCTAGATACTTTCTGAATAGATTATTTTCAGTATCGTAGTTAAAATTGAGGAGACAAAATAAATCACAATGGAAAAAGGAAGTTATTTCTTACCTTGTGTAACTTGAATTTTTTGTGGGTGTTGACAGATTGGGACTAGGACTGTTAAATCTATTTGTAGGGCTCGCTCTGTAGGGGGAAGTCGGACTGCTACTTATTTTGGAACGTTTTTGTGTACCAACTCTCATCATAAATGGCGACCCTTTTACATCATAACCATTAAAGTAAACGTAAACCTAAAAGATCAAAATTGAAAATACGAATCGTTAGTTTCAGTTCAAATCAATGTGTGCCCTGCTCCATCATTTTCATACACATTTGACTAACGTAGATTAGTCCTACCTTAGATTATGAAAATTCCAACACGATGGCTTCTTTTCGTTCTTTCAAATCATATATCATCCGATAATCCATTAAGATCGAAAAACATCCCAAGTGTGTCAACAAAAAGCAGCTTGTAAATAAAATATTTTGTTCTTACCCTGTGTTTCCCAGCATCTTTTGGCGTAAAATGTATCCTATAGTGAAAATTGTCTATTTTTTCCACGTGACAATGAACAGATTTCTTGTCGTGTACTATATCTGCTACAACTTCTCCTGGTACTCCAACACCTCTACAATCTACTTCAATGGCATGCGGAATCAGAGGCAGTGCTCCTTCTATTCCAGACACTTGTACCCCATTCGGGTCGAAGACTGAACATGTAAAAGGACCTCCCTAAAAATAAAAAAGTAATAAACAAATTAATAAAACGTATTTAAAATGACATAGTAATATTTCAATTCAATTCTGCTTAATCGTATTCACGAAGTAGGAGAGGAAATGGGCATTAAAATAAACTCGAACCAATTAATTGGAATATCAAAACCTATGCAAACTCTATTTTTTATGGCCACCTGTTTCCATTCATACGTCTTACAAGTCCGTACCATCTCAAACTCTTGGCTTCAATAGATCAATTATTGTTGTTTCAATATCCATTTTTTTCTGTATCTCGTCATTACTTATTTTGTCATGAAGTTTTAGCCTACAACAACTGCTTCAAGACCCCGTTTCTATTGACAGTAGCTTTTTTTTAAAACTCTGTCACTTGCCAGATCTTACTGTATAATTTACGAATATTTCTACTATGGTCTCGTAGATTCTGATTTTTGTATCTTATCTAATTTGTGTGCTCCACAGCACATAATTTAGTTGTTTTGTCTCCTGTTTATCTTGCGTAATTTATTTTTTAGTTTAAGTCTCACTAGAGTCCTCTTTAGTAATTGTAAATCCAAATTGAGGTTTGGAGGTCAAATGGTTGGGGTTTCGTTCTTGGGGATAACAAAGATTGCCAAGGTATTTGCTATGCTAAAACTCTAAGAAATGCCCAGTTATTTTCCTACAGGACATCCCAGCAGATTCTACTCTGACGTCCACATTCGGGACCTCCGTGCAAGGCGTGGTGTACGCTATGTAGCTAACAGAAGGGTGAGGTGAATCCGGTGCCTAAAACTGAAACAAATCGGGTAAGGTATGCTAACCCTTACAGAAGAGTTCCTGGACCTACAATTTCGGAGTTTAGACGTAAGACTAGAACCCCTGCTCCCATAATAAAAGTTATACGCAAAAGTTCCTAGTAAAGAGAAGATACGGATGGACTTAGAAGAGGACGACTTTTTATTTATACAATGATTAAATTTTTATTGAGAATATGCCTGTTTTCTAGAAAGTGTTTTCTACAAGTGCACATATGGAGTCGACCTTATAATATTCGATAAACTTCGTATGTTCAAGTATACGTTTTTTGAAGCTTCTTCCTGTTTGTCCGACATACTTATTTTTAAATCTTGATAAATTAATTTATAAATCAAGCTTTGACCAAAAAATTCTTGTAAATTGTAGATAAAAACGGTTATAGTTTTGTTGAACTGTGGAGCGACACATAAAATACATAAATCATAGTTTAAAATAAACAAAAAAAAAATCAATTCGCATAATACGCTAAAGAAATAGCATTAACTGTGGTAAAAAAGTGGTAAAAAAATCGTACTTCATGTTCAAAATATCTATGAACAATGAAACATTCAATTTTTTATTTGTGAAATGACAGGAACTTTTTGTCATAAAAGTGTATAATTGTTAGTACAGGATGATATATCTAACAAAAATTGATTTAAGTGCTAAAATCAACTAATAGAAGCAAAAACACAGCGGAAATTTAATAAAATTAATTGATTAAAATAAGACATCAACCAAAGGATTACGCTTTGTCTTATCATTATTCATGTCATTATTGTGTTTACTGTTGAAAATGGACCTTTTACAATGTTTTTCATACTTTTTATATAATCTTATTATCATATTGGAGTTACTTCTTACTCTTCTTATTTTCTTTGAGCTTTTCACTTCGGGTTGGCCCAACCTCCATACCACTATTTGGATGTCTCTGCAAGAGTATTTGATGTCTTTGCAAGAATATATCAAAAGAATAATTAAATAATACTATAAGGAATATATGTATACCTGAATTTGTTTTCCCTGGTAAGTTATTTCTATTCTCCACTCTCCTGGTTCATCTGGTTTGAAGGTGGCACTATTAGTTCCATCTATAACTGTCAAGGGACAATCTAATGGTCTTCCACTGGGACTATAGGCTGTTACTAAGATGTCTTCTCTTCTTGGTGCACCTTAAAACAGAACATATTTGTATTTTTAAAGAATATATTATTGTTATTAGGCCGTTTATAGCCAATTTATAAATTGGCGCTTCATGGATTGAAACCAAAACGTCAGTCGATAATATGATCGTCCAAAAGGAAGATGCATCGATGGTTTTAAAAGAAACATATAGGAATAAGGAAACATCCAATTTTATTTAGAATTATTGTAGTTTAAAAGTAGTAGTAGTAGTCTTTAAAAAATATAGAACGCTCATTTAAAACTTCGAATTAAGCATAAGGATGTTTCCATCTTCGTAAAAGTAGCATCAAGATAAAAACAAATGAATGGATAAAATGTAAAATTTATACAACAACTATAAAAGTTCTTACCAGTAGCGTTGACTAAGACCTGCACCAAAGACCCCAGAGCACAAGGCGCCATACCTGGGGGTGCTACTTCTACTAGTGGTGGTAAAACTCTAAAATAATGGCCTGCTTGGACTTCTTCTCCTTCGTATTGCACGATGATCTCATGCATACCCACTTTAGAGGGCACAAAGTTTCCTTTTCCTTGTTGTAGCTTGCTGCCCAAGTATATTTTGTTATCTGGACCGCGGATTTCAGTGGATAGTTGGGAGTAGGAAAGTGACGAGTCAAGTAGAGTTACTTGATAGTAAGTCTGAAACATAAAATAAAATGAAAACAAAATTTTATTATAACATTACCTAATTTGTAGTCAATTATTTCAAATAACCATTTACACTAATCATTGCCTCGGACTAAGGCAATAATTGCTTACTGATGAGCTATAGCCATCGAGCAAAAAGACAAAAGAGGGAATGTAAAGGTAGTGGGGGCAAAAATATTGTTAGATAGGAAGAGCCATCTTGAGAGGCCACATTAAACAAGGAAACAGAGTCTTTCCTTGTTGAGAAATTAAACTTAGTTGGGTTATGTTACTGTTTGTCCCAACTGTCACATGAAATCTTATTTATATTGAAGTTTTTTAACAATTATGTCACATTTTAGACTGTTATCGTTAATATTGATTTAAAGTTTCTCGTCTAAGACACATTCTGAAAACTATTTTATAGCTACTCTTAATAAGTGTCGATAAATTTAAATTTAGCGCATTTGCATTTCCTTATATGTCCGCCATCAGAGGCCACTTTTTTGGTCTCCTTTTCATAACGATTAGATTCCCTCTTTTTCGCTTTTGCTCGATGGCTATAGCACACTATATCTAGCTTTGATAAAACGGTTGTTGCCTTTTTTGGCGATAAAGAGTTTTTAAGTATTTATTTTTAGCTATATAATTTTAAACATTGAATTTGAAAAGACATTCGAAATCCACTTTGACATCAGCTTGTATTTAAGAATTTTATAATAAAGAACTTTGTCACATCTTTCAACTTATATTTTTATTGTTACCAATAACTCGACACTAATGGATTTATCGTTCAATGCTATCATACTTTTACATTAAAAGGCGATTTTATAGTTGGTTAAGAACATTTTTTGTAATTCGTGCTATTTTTGTGGTAGCCCACATAATTAACAAAGTTGCGGTCATTTAATAAGGTATTTTGATAATAAGAAATAAAACCCAAACAACCGAAACGACACAATAAACTTAGTGATTATCTAAAAATATTATCCCATGTCATTAAATCTTATTTGACAATAATCAGGATTTTTTAAGGAGGTTTAAATGCATTTGTTTCTAAAAACACTGGAGATTACAATGAGGAAATGGATGCAGATCATAATGAAAAATGGTTTTCACATATTCTGTTAAAAATAGAAACAGGATCTGTTATTGTTATGGATTACCAACTTCCTACTAAATGGAGAAGAGCCGAGATTATGGATTGGCTTACTAAAAAAATATATTAAATTTAATGAACCGATTTTAAAAATCGAGTTACCAAACTTAGCACTGGTAAGAGCGCCTACCTTTATCCGCCTGGTCCCACCTGGGTGGAAATTTTCGTTTATTAAAAAAATTAATAAATGAAAATAATTTATATCCTTGTGTGATCGGTACTCACCGGAGGGACCGCAGACGTTCGGATACAATTAGCGTCTCTTAGCAAAGACAATGACGTCGACTTTGCTAAGTATCAAGACAATTACTCTACACACACAAACACAGACACACACACTACATTAATAAACTTATCTTGATTGAGACTGGATGAATGACAATTGTCCAAGCCAAAACACACACAAAAAAAAAACTTAGCACGGTGTCATAAAGATAAATATGTAATAGATGAAATGGCGCGAGAACGAGACGTAATTGTAGTTCGATTGCTGCCATACCATTGTGAGTTAAACCCCACATAACTTATATGGGCTCAAATGAAAAGTGAAGCAGCAAGTAAAATGTTACTCTTATATTAAATTATGTAAAAATCTGATTAATCACAGTGCCGCCAGTAATGTGACCTCACAGTCGTGGATAAAATGTATCCAGCATGTAGTGAAAGAAGAGCAGAATATCTGGAACCTTAATACCTCATTGAAATTATTATGGAACCCGTAGTTATGGATCTAGGCGAAGATACTACTACTGAATCTAAAGATGACATAGATGACTCAGGATTAGATTATAATGTTAGTTTTTATTTAGATCCCCAAAGGTCTACATTAGAAATATGACTCACTTGATAGATTTGTGGTACTATGGTATATACCTCGGTGGTTGCTGAAATTTTCTTTCCCTCTCACTCCTTAACCTGGCAACTTTATTATCAAAAGTGTAAAAGCCAATGTCACATCTATGTATAAATGTACAATAGTATAATATATGAGTGTCCTAGCAACAAAGTTGGCAATCTCTTTGCCATACTATTTGCAACTTTTTACTAAAATTAAGTTCTTCTTCTTCTTTCAGTGCCTATTCGTTCCGAATATTGGCAATCATTCTGGCTATAATTATTTTATTAACTGCTGCTTTAAATAAATTCGTTGTTGTTGTGGAGAACCATTTCCTCAGGTTCTTCAACCATGATATTCTCCTTCTCCCAATTCCTCGCTTTCCGAATACCTTACCCTGTAGGATTACCTTCAGTAATCTGTATTTAGTGCTGTTTCTCATTATATGTCCGAGATATTCCAACTTTCTCCTTTTAATGGTATACATCACCTCTCTTTCTTTGCCCACTCTTCGTAATACGGTCTCGTTGGTTATCTTGTCTGTCCATGATATCCCAAAATTAAGTTAGTTACATTAAATTATTTGTATTTTAAAACACTATACAAAAACAAAAAGAATAAGAACCAAAATCAGCATTTTTTTTTGACCAATGAGAATCCTCGCAGCGACCATGTGGTATACCACTAGGAGTCAGCTTTAGTCGTTATCGTTATAATTTCTCGTAGTTTTCTCTCAACCAAGGTGCCAAGCTGTTTGTTTTTTTTTTTAAATTTTAGTAATTTTTAAAATGAAAACTATTAGAACTCCTGTTGGTGGACGTGATGGCCGGGATACCCCAGGGATCTGTCTTGGGCCCCACGCTATGGAACGTGGTATATAAGAGGGTACAACCCCCTTCGCATTCGCGGATGACCTCGCTGTACTGGTAGCGGCTCGGGATGAGTCAGATCTCAAATACCCAAACTTGCGGCATAAAAAACCGAAGCCATTATTCTGAAGGAAAAAGGAACAGGCAAAGTGTTGAATTACAATGTACGGGAGCATGTCTAATATCCAAGAAACACGTAAAATACCTAATAATGACATTGCACCAGAATGGAAAATGGGGGGAGCACCTACGAAAGATGGCCCGGAAGGCTGCGAATAGTGCGACTGCTTTGGGGAAGGTGATGCCCAACATTGGGGATGGAAATCCGAAAGTAGGAGGGTCTTACACGGTGTTGTACAGTCGATCGTCCTCTACGCGGTACCAGTCTGGAGGGGGCGGTAGAGATAACGGCCTATAGGAGGCTCATGACACAAGTGGACAGAACAAGTCTGTTGCGAGTGGCATGCGCCTACAGGACTGTGTCTGCGGCAGCCTTGTGGACTATCACTGGATGTGTTCCGTTGCATGTTTTGGGGGTGGAAAGAAAAGAGCTCTATGAGAGAATAGGGTTAAAACTTACTGTAGCCAGGAGAAGACGAGAAAGGGAAAGGTCAGTTAGAAGATGTCAAGAAGAATGAAACAACACAGATAATGTGGCATAGTGGACGACAATGCTAATCCCGAACATAAGAGATTGGTTAGACTGTGGCCACAGGCGACTATTATTTCCTGACGCAGGTGCTCACAGGACATAGATATTTTAGAGTCTACCTCTAATTGCTGACACAGATAAATACTTTATTGTGGACACTCGGACAATGTGACACATACGATGTTAGAGTGCAACAGATGGATAGTAGAAAGGAACAGTAAGAGAAATGATTGAAAATAAAGCAGGTTTGACTAGCATACACACCTATATCCGTGCAGTGATCAAGAAAAAAGAAAATGAAAAAGACAGCTGGACCAACAGCAAATGTAAGAGGGAAATACTCTGGAAGTTGAAGCTAGAAAAGTGAGTCAGACTGTATGAGTCAGACTGTGAGGAAGGAGGAAATGCCCGTCTGGGAGTGATGCCGTACTAGAGAGCGATGAGGGTCTTTTACGCGCTACCTGGAACAAGACAGAGGGCCTCGTTGCTGATGAATGGAGTGTGGATGTGGACGAATGGAGAATGAATGAATGAAGGTAGTGCTTCGGAAGTGATGCCGGCCTTACAGCGGTATTCCGCTTCCGGATCGCTGGATGACAGAGGAGTGTCTGTTTTAGCAGGTAGGCGTTCGGCTTAGACTCGCCGACGAGAGGGCATTTTAAAGTACGTCGGGTACTATCGCCGGAAGTACGAAGAATGAATCCTGCATTAAGGTCAGTCAAGCGGCGTCCTGGAGTGAGATGTCTTTTGAAGATTTCAAAGATATAAAGACAAAAAAAGTATCAAAACCAGCATACTCTATTATTTTTTTCAATTAACAAAACTTTTAATAATTTTTTTTGCCATTTTCTTATAAATTAAACTATATTTGTTTCGATTTCACCTAAAATAAATGCATATCATTGTTTTGCGTTTTACTCAAAAGTCAAAATGATGGAGATTGCCAACTTTGTTACTAGGGCCTTCATATAATAGTATCTATACTATGCTCGTTTAAGATCCAATACTTCTGCGCCACCACTCATTCCGATATCTGAATCTTATCCATTCAGGACATTCCTATCTATCGCGCACTATTCGATTTATTTTGGTATATCTACGTCTGTTTTAGTACTATTAATAATTTTTCGTAAAACTGTTTGTAAACGATATCCAAAGTGGAAATGGAAACGTTAAATAAACTTATTCCCAATAGAAATAGTAAATTGCATTAAGATACCACAAGAAAATAGCTTCAGAGAATTTAAAGAGAAGAAGAAACGCGACGGGATCTCTTAATGACACAATCTGGAAGAACAAACACCTAAGACAAGACACAAAAACAAGAATATATATAGCAGCAATTAAACCTATATTAACATACACGGCGAAGACAAGACCTAACACATCTCAAACGAGATGACTACTATAAACAACAGAGATGAAAACACTCCGACAAATATCAGGCAAAAGTCTGTTGGGTAGGGAGAGAAGCGGAAACATAAGAAAAGGCAATAT